GCATGTATATAAAGGCAGATTCCCCTGAGAAAAATAATAACGCGCTTTTCGTTCCAATTTTTCACTGCGTTCAAATTGACATACCTTTCTTATTTATTACCCTACATAAATGAAGCAAACACAAAATGTTAATGCAATCTTATGTTAATAACATTACCTAGAAACTATATCTAAATTGGTTAAATTATTGTAGAGATTAGGGTGTATGTACAAACAAACACAAAAAAGTAGAATTTTCTAGAGCAAACTGACGTTTCAGGCTTAGTAGCGTGTTTTCAATAGGTAGCACTAACTTTTACTTTTAAATCACAACGTTGATAAATGAGACTGCATCCGCAATGATAACTTTTCAGGACAATTATTAATCGATAACTTTTTGTGATAGGAGAGTTAGTAAATTCATAAACCTGTACATAATTTTATTTCATGTAGTTCGTATTATTTTATGACTTACATGTTTTATTAACACTTTTGAAGCATGATCACATATTGTGGCTTTCATTTGCCAAGGTTATCAAATGGCAGAAGTAAAGACCTAGGCCATTGACCTACACCTAGACTGTTTATAATTTTATTATAATATGTAGGTACCACATGTGAATATTCTCTTTAAGTAATTGAAGCGGTAAATGACAGAGCGAGCTGCAAAGTGCATTCGTCTCTATCGCGATGCTCATTAATTGAGTATACTGGTTTTGCTGCATTGGCTTACTTTTGAACGCTTGCTACTGCAATAAATTAATAAAGACGGCGCTGGTTCTGATAGGTTTTGATAACGTTATCTTTTATTTATTTCAGGGTTCGAAAATAATCAAGATATTTATTTTCTTTGGTAATTTTACTATCATGATAACTATTCATGCTGATCATTGATAGCGTTGATTCATAATTTTGTCTCTTTAGTTTATTTGAGTAGGCAAAGGTTCCACCATGCAGCCGATTTGCATCTTTCCTTGTTCTGATGGAGAAGACGCTAAGCACTTGGTCGTAATTTATTTCATGTCATGAAGGTTTCATGCTATTTATCTGTATAGGGCAAGGTAAGTGTCTATGTTTTTCAATAGAGCTTCTGTTGCCTGGTAAGTGTCTATGTTTTTCAATAGAGCTTCTGTTGCCTGGGATATTTTCGGTTTTGCTATTTATGACTAATAATGGCAAACAGTCAGAAAACCAATTATACACGAAGAAAAATCTTTGGGAAAACGATTTGGCTTGCGACTTTTTGTAATTGACATTTGACATGTTCTCTGATGCAAATACGTGTCACGATAATGCTAGCGGTAGCATTTTGTTATTCCAATTTGGCTAATTGACAATGTTTTCTATAAATTCAATTACCTATGCAGAAATGCAATTTTTTTAAATTATTTTATAATAACAATACACGATTTTGATTTGAAAAAATAGATTATTTCCAATGTGTGGGTAACAATCGCGAAAACCTATGAATTATGAAATGTTTAATATTAATTTATGGACATTGAAATCGTACTTACTACATTTTAAATACCGCAATTTTAAGGCTACGGCCGACTTGGGTTAAAACTATGAATTAAATTGCGAATAACGCTTTTGTTTTAATAGTTTATTCATGCATAAATTAAATGGGTAATTTTCAGGCTAGTTTTCTCTACGTACCTAATTTCGGTGGCAATTTTTATTATTTAATTGTTCTAGAATATTATCATGAAGTATTGTTCAATGTTCGAATGTAGTATCCTAAAATATTATTAAATATTTTAATACTTAATTAATAACAATTGCCACCGAAATTAGATAGAAAAAAGATGAAAGTTATCCAAATGATTCTGATTTATAATAACTTCGTTTTGAGAGAGATAATCTGCATTGTTCTTTAATCTATACAGCTAAAATTAAAAAACAAGATATCTTCAAAGTTGATATCGACACGTGCACGAATTATATACCCATACATAAATGTAGATAGGTATACAACACAATTGGGCGTAGAGATAGAAAGATATGTAAGTACTAGGTATTGCGCAGAGTATGGCGATGGCGGCGGCGTAGTAGTATCGATTCCGTTGAGTGGATTCCGTGAATGAATGAATCAGCCCGGTGTAATGCAAAAACGAGATAAGTTGATAATTTTTATTAAAAGAAATATATTTTTATCTATTCCATTCCATGTATTCATATCCTTTGGATGCGAATATGGAGTGTTTTGATTTAAAAATTAGCTTTTAAATAGTTGTAACACTTTTAAGATCATGTGCCTCTCCAATAGATAACTATAGATAATTGTTATGGGTTGGCTGCTACCAAGGGCACCTTTTAACCTTAACCATAAGTATTTCTAGGTCACTACTTAAAAAAGAATACTCCATAATTTTGAGCTGTAATAATAATTATCTGTTCAATTCTAGAGTTGTAGCTTACCGGAAAACCCGTTACTCTACCAGTTATACATTTGGGCTTCGAGTGTTTAACGTAAGCTACGTCACGTTACGTCATAGTAGCCGACCAATCAGAACGCGAGGCCTAAAACGCGCAAGCAAAGTTTTCCCAGTTCAACGATATAAATACAAGTTCCACTTTCCATACATTGGGGAGTCCAATGCTACAAGGTACGCCGGTCGTGGCAGGGGGCCGGTCTAAGCCCCTGCCATCTGAATATGTCGTCTGTATAGTCGTCATGTATGGGTTTGAATATAAAACGGTAATAAAAATATTGAAAATCACTCTGTTAAATGAAAATGAGAGTCCTTCTCACACACACCTCTGTAGCTGCTTTGACTCCCTTTTTGTGATCTTTTATAATTCTATTATCAACTTCAAATGCTTAAAACTAAATGAAAGCGGTTTATGTGGTTTTTCGATAGGTAAATGTTTCAATCAATAATTATGGTATCACAAAAATCTATCAACAATAGCGGACAAATATTCTCATTACCTACTTCTCTACAATTTATTTATGTGTCAAAAATCCTTATCGTATTATTCAAATAGTACCTAAAACTATATTAACAAATTCAGAAGTGTAATACTCAATTTTAAAAACACGAACACTTTAATACAACGCATGTAACTAATTGCAATAATTAATTTTGTATTTAGTTTCGAACAATGTAAAATCACAATTTTATTAATAATATTATTTAACAAGGTATTCATAATAACTTTTTAAACATAACTTAAACCTTTACAACTCTACATTATAACATTTTCAATATTGAAATGCTTACTTATCTTCTTTTCAATTCGTGACAATTTATTTGTATGCTTATTGGAGATATAAAAGTGAACATGCAAATTAAAATGCAAAATATCGTATTTATAATATTTTTTGTGACATCAACATTTTTAATTATCATTTTCTATTATTAGATAATTTTAAAATACAGTACAACACTTTTACATTAGCTGGTAGAGAGTAGAGCATTTTTTAAGAAAAGGTGCATTTCAAACATACCTTTCATCTTTCATCTCATACATTGTCATTGTGTCAGTCGTAAAATTTATTGGTTACAGTTATTCCGTATACCTAATCATTACATTGCTTTGATTTCGAATAAAGAGAGAGAGATAAAACTCTAAATCTATTTAAAGAATACGAGAATACGAATTTTAATTTGCTTTATATTGTTGCTGTATATTGTTTAGTTGCATTGTAATCTATAATACACGTGCTGGTCAATGTTCAAGGAGTTTACATTTATATATTATACGTTTGTACACAATACGGGTTATCTCAACTTCATTAAAACACATTAACACTAATAATTATTATGAATATCTAATTCTAGTAGCCATATTTATAATTAAGATGTAACAGGTGTGGTTTATTACGTCCTATATAATCAGGTCTACTTAAGTATACATTTATATAAGATCATTTCGTTCAATGCTTTTATGAGATTGTACGTAAGTAGCTTAATAATTGCCGACCTTTATATTAATTAATATTTTGTATTAACTTTGTTTTAAATCGATGTCACGTTCGCTATGGACTGATTAATTATAAATTGCTATTACTCTCTGCTTTAATTATATAAATGTAAATTATGATAACAAAGTTTGTTATTCGTAATAATACAAACTCATATATAAATATTATACGTCTCTAACAAATTTTCGTTTAATTAATATTGCGACTCTACAAAAAACTATTGTTCAAACTATAAGATTCAAGTTGATTCAAACAAGATTAGGAACTAATACAGTGTAAAGGAACAAAAGGAAGTCAAATTAGCTACTAACCGTGTGGATGAGACCAAAGTCTCTCTTTATCATTTTCTTGCCATATTTGACATTATTTTACCATATATGATTGCTTATTACGCTTCAACATATCTGATGGCAAGGAATTAGACCAGCTCCCTGCCAGCACTGGTTCACGTAGTAGCTACGGACTCCCCGTTTTATTAACAGTGGAATTTGTATTTATACTGCTACACGGGAAAACTCTGATAGCGCGTTTTAGGATTCGATTTTGAAACATTAATTATACTACTTTCTAAACAGTTTTGTCAATAAAAAGTTGCTTACATGATTGACCATAGCAAAAAGTGTACAAGCGTATTTTTTGTTGTGTCAAAAATTGCGTTAAAAATGAGTTATCGTTAAAAATCGGAAACGCATTTCGCGTTACGAAAGTCCGACTAGGTGCGATAGAGACGACAGACCCCGTGGCCGCCCACAGTACACGCCTTTGTTAGTAAACAGTCGTAGCGCCCTGCATACATATTATTTCTGCTCTACCACTCATACTCTACATTTCATTGATTTTTAAGAGAGAGCCAGAAATAACTCAGTGGGAGGAACAAAGACAGATAGCTTTCGACAGTCTGCTTCGAATTATACGTTAATAGAAAAATCAATCAGGACTTGATGAAAATTTAAGAATTTTAGTAACAAAATTTTAAATAACAAATTCATTAATTACAGTTAGGTGTCTATTGCTGTGGAGAGTAAATAGGGTTATTTACCCTTTTGACGTGAGCAGGAATTCAATATTTTTTAAACTCACAACACTGGCTCAATGAAATGAGTCTTTTGCATGCTCCGTGAATTTCTCGAAAAATAGGATGAGTATTGTAATGGCTGCCGTTTTCTTTGATAAGTTTCCGTGAATTTGTGCTAAATAAACCACATATTGTGTATTACGAAGTGTATTTAAAGTGCAGGTACAACGACATTAATTGTTGCCATCAAATCGTAAGTAAATTGTTGCAATAAACATAAAATAAAAATGGAAATTGAAAATAGAAACACCAGATTTTGGGGTTGCAAGAAAAAATTGCATTTGATTTTGACATTACGATTATCTTTAATAATATTGTATTTTAAATTTAATTACATACACGAAGATGGATGATCATTATGAACGATTCAGATGTTTCAGTGTCCCCGGGCGATGAATGAAAACGTGGTGACCTCTTAAAAATGTGCACGTTTAAAACCATGACATTTCGGGCGTTGAGAGTGCCTGGATTTTATTAAATTTTCATAAATTTACATACTATGTGTACCATCTTGCCTTTACCAGGAATACTCCGTCCAGAGCGCATTTAAAAGTACTGTTAGTATTCCCTGGAGACCTTATTCAGAGATGTATGAAAAAATATTACGATCGACATGTTTTCTTTAATGAATGTCACAATACCTTCCAAATTTTGCATTCTACCCTTCTGGTGGTCATAATATACATTATTTGTCGTACAAACTGCTATACACCATTGTGGGTATCTTTTTAAATCTCTTTCACGTTATAAATTGAGTATGCACTTAGTTGATGAGCTTGTAGAAAGCAATAGGCGTAGTATGTGCGTCAGAACCGTAGCAAAACGGAAGTTGGTCTCTGCCTGCCCTAATGGGAAAAGCAGATTCTCACCTGTCCTAGAAGATACATTTTCAATTTAAGTAGTGGTGTTGCCTGGCAATGGCACAGTTGGCCGGGGTCAGGAACTCAATGTTATTATTTTGGGTATCTATTTTGATTCTCGCTTCTCCCATGACCTAAAAGTAATCTTATTATTATAGTTAAGGTGGTTTATTCAGGACATTTCAGTGCCTTACTTTCTCATACTCATATCTTATAAAGAGTGATTATTTAGGGGTTGGCAAAACTTTCTAATGATTTTTAATTTGGATGCCTTAGTTTAAGAATAGGTGTAAATATGGAGGGTGTGATGTGAAATCAACCTGCAAAATTTGTATATCCAATCCATTTTTTGTGTTTCGGTAACTGTGCTTTATGATGCAAGATTGAGAAGTAACGTGACGACTTGTAGCTATTTACCACTGATCATCAGTAATTAAACTAGAAGCCAGCGCTAACACAATTAGGGAACTATTGGATTTTCTGTCTGTTCTGGCTGGGGGCTGCTTCCCTTGGGCTGCATTAATTTGGGAGGTGCACAGGTGCACATTTGCTACGTGGCAGAAACAACTTGCTGCTTTTACCTGGAGGTTGGACATGTCTTGTGTAGACTTATGTAACAAAGATTCACATGAAGTGTTTTCATTTCCAAGAATGCTTTAACTTAGGCCTTTGAGAGTGAAAAGGCATTATTTAAGTGTACATGGTACAAAATCAACCTCGTTGTGGTGCTCCATCAAGTGAGATGGAGGTTAAATGTGCACTAAAACAACACTACTGTATTTTCTAAATTCCAAGCTTCGGATCTGTAGCATTTGAAGATTCTAACGTTAATTTATTCCATTCTCAGTCTGCTACTGCAATTAAAAGTTTCTTTGAGGTGAAAAAATTATTCCATTGGAAGCATTTTTCAGCAAAGAAATAATCTACCAATCAGGAAGCAGTTGGGATGTTTTCAAATTGCAGATGAAATTCTTCTTCTTTCAAATGTTATGACCCCATCTAAATAATCAATGATTTTGCCAATATCAAGTAAAAATGGCTATGTACGGTAGTTTTGTAAAAATAATATAAAAATTATGACGAATGACGCCAATAGCAAGGCCGGTACCTCCCACAAACTTCTGCAGATGGAATGCAGACCAAAAGCAGTTTGGTTGCAGCGCTTGTGATAGACATTTTAATTTTACTTAGATAAAAAATTAAATTACATCAATAATATTTTATTGTTCAAAGGATAACCCACCATGTCTGATGAGGAGGCTATGGCGGTGGACACCACCGAGGGGCAGAGATTGACAGTGGAATATAAGGATGGTATGTACCGTGACCTCTAAACCAATGTTGAAAACCTTATACCATTATTATTAAAGCTAAGTTGTTTTAGCTCTGGTTATACAGAAGTATGGGTATTTGACATGTGTAGAAAATTAAGTATAGGAAGTAAAGCAAACCCGATACCTCATCTACCGCCCGTATAGGGTCACTAGAGTCGTAAATTCGCACCCTCGGTGTAAGAAGGCCAAATCAGCAAATTGACATTTTTTTAGAATAGATGCGAAACCATTTATTGCAACGCAACAATATAAAAAAAGGCATAAGAAAGAACTAATATAAATAAAAACAGAAATAACACAAAAAACAGCGTAACAACATTTAAACAACAAGTTACATAATACTATATGTGATATATGTGCGGCTGTGGCGTATGTAAAAGGATCCCATTCAGCTAAAGTCGCAACCAAGATTGGGCTGTGACGCTGGTTTTCAATGGGCCCTAGCCGAGTGAGTGACGGTTTTTCAGGAAAGAGATTTTAATATTCTATGAACAACATTCGTTGACTACTTTTTTATCCTGAAAATAGGAGATTTACAAAATTACGCACACATCCACATAATTTTAAGTTTATTGAATTTCACGATGCTTTACTGCCATATTATTAAATTTTTTTGTTGTGGAATCACTCCACTTCTTAACACTAAGAAAAATTCATTCGAACCGCCTGGCTTCGAACCAGCACCCCCATGCAATCCGTGGCAGAGGCTCTGCCAATTAAGCCACGGAACGAACCAGCAGACCTTACGAAAGTCATGGTAGTAAAACATCGTAACACTCCAATTCCAATAACTTTATAATGGTTCCATTAATTTTCACGATGATTCTGCCAATGTAAGGGTTGAAAAAGACACTTTTATGTTAGTGTGACCATGTACGGTTGGATAGCCGGAGATCCGTTGGGTACCAGGGTTGGAAAAAAACATGATTTTTTTGAAAAAATCGAATAGAATACGATTTTCACAATCACAATTTTTTTAAATTTTTTCGTTCGATCTGGCCGCCCTAAGCCCGGTCCTGTTGGGCCTTAGGGCAAATCCGCATTGTCGTTATCCCGCCTTTTTATCACCTTTTCTCTGTTTCCTGGCCACTTGTTTTCAAATTTTGAATCGTTCTTTAATTCCTATGCCTCACCATTCTCATTTTGTTTCGTTCCCTCCCTGCTCAATCGTGGTAGCGAGCAGTCCGGCTGCAATTTTCAATTGCTAAAAAAAAATAATTACCAGTTCTCAACCTAAATCATGTGCTAATTTTAATGTTAATACCAATCTGTAATTCTGTAAAACTGTATACGGCACATTAATGGTTTACAACTTTTTCAAAGTCGTCTAAAATAAAATAAACAGATCTGCAATAAGCACATAGAGAGATTCGTAAGGTCGGCTGGTTCGTTCCGTGGCTTAATTGGCAGAGCATCTGGCACGGATTGCCTGAGGGTTCTGGTTCGAATCCAGCCAGATCGAATGAATTTTTCTTTAGTGTTTTGATCTTTGTTATAACTCGTGTATTATTTTGACGCGTGGCTTTACCGTACCTAAGGTACGAATTGATTACCCTGAGATCGGTATACTGAGCGGACGAATGTGGGGTGACGTTAAAAGAACTGGGATTCCTCAAGGGACGTGCTGTCCTAAGATCATAATTCTGTTGAGAGTTATTCCATTAAGCTAGTATGCGAGAGGGTTTAGTCAACAATGACTCCATACAAATAAAAATAAAATCATTTATAAATATTAGATAGCATCCATTGACTTACAATTATATGGACGTCGGGTCCGCGCTAAAAAGTGTCCGAACTTATAGGGCGTTAAAATCGTATACAGAGCGTCATTCACGCTTTAGTCGTCATTTGTTCGACTGACAGCGAAGCAAGCAAAATTAGACAGTACTGCGATGACATTACAATTTAAATTCAACGTTTTGGCTTTTTCATATTCCTTTACATGTCACTACGTTTAAATAGGTCGACTTGGGACATTTTTTTCGTGTTTTTTGTATTAGACCCGTCGTCCATTTATTTGTAAGTCAATGACAGCATCGCATACGTTGCTATGATCCCAAAGTAAGTAACTAAAGCGCTTCGTCGGCCAAATTCACAAAGCTCAAAAAAATAAAATTACTAAAAATTATTAGGTCTTTAAGGCGTTGGTGGCAACAGTCCTGATTACGTCCCACCCATTACACCAAATGACGTAGAGCTTAAAAGGGTTTAAATATCTTGGCCACTTTGTAACCGACGATCTTAAGGACCAAACAGACATCGAAAGAGAACGGAGGGCGCTGGCGGTCAGATGTAAGCAAGCTAAAATAACTTTTTTCAAGGCCTATTGTCACTACACGTGCAACCTATGGTCCAACTTTACGCAGAAGGCCATTAGCGTCTTTCACGTCCAATATAATAATGTTGATAGGGCTGCCTCGCTTCTGCAGCGCATCGGGAATGTTTGCGCAGGCGCGTACCGATGACTATTACGCCATCATGCGCAAAAAGACGGCCTCGCTGCTCTGCAGACTGCGGGCCAGCGCCAACTCCATCCTGACGACCTTGATAGGGAGATATGATTCCCCCATTATGCGCCATGTTGTGTTTGCGAGAAAAATAATTTTCTGACTGAGTCATGAGGTTTTCAAATTTAGCCGATGCTTGTATTATGGCAGTCTGAAACAACGACTACGGCACTACAAACAATATAGACAAATTAGTTTTTCTACATTGACCCAGCTGGGGATCGGACTCGGGAGCTCAGAGCGATGGCGATACCATGGAAATCGGTGTGCAATCCACTGTAGTAAGGAGATAGTAAAATAAACAGAGCAGGGCAGTCATTAACTGAATGTATTTGCTTTTTATCAGGTCAATTGCAAATAGTGGAAGTGACTCCTTATGAACATGACAAGGTAAGTCATTTTGTTTTTATACACTCCCGGACACAATTCCAGCCACCTCGCATTTTTAGTGTTAAATGCTCTCCGCTTAAACAATGTTTGATTGATCAAAAACTAAAAAGCAATTTTGAAATTAGTAAGCTAAACGTCTTTTCCATAAATCCATGTTGGAAATATGGATTTGCAAAATTGAGGGAAAACTTTGTTTTCGACGATATCATTACTTTTGTATTCTAGGACTTTAACACAAACATGCGGTGGCTGGAATTATGTGTCCGGAAGTATATTAATATTTATTCATGATTTTCATATATATTTTTGTGAAAATACTAGTATGTTATTATCACGGGAGAAAAAAAAACATTGGAAGTGCCTCGATTACTACCAGAACCGCTCTCGCCGAAACTCGCATACCTACTATGAAATTTTGATAATGATTGGTCGTAGTGTCTAAAGCAGATGTAACAAATTGAATGTTAATATAATTTAAACTTTATTTTCTTGGCATATCGTTGAAAGTTCAATAAGTACCTTTTATTGCAAGTTACATTGATTTTATATATTTATAATCGTCACTCAATGTGCTGCCATTTAACGGTTAATAGCTGAACGACGAATTCGAGATGATTACTTAGTTCTCCAAAAAGGAAGTGACCATATTGAATTGGTATAAGGTTTACTTTTAGTTGTAACAATAAAATTATTTCGATAAAGTAAATTAAAAGATGTAACAAAATCACATAACAGGCAACAACTCATATTAGTTCCGTCACGCACCGCTAGATGGCATTGGCGTCGAAATAGCAAAATCTGCATCGCGGTGTTAAGATTTTCCCTCGCGGAATGACTACTGGCGGCGATGCGAACATGAATGGAATCCAACTTACGACGCATCTAGCTCTGTTTCCTTATTTGGAACTCCGCTTTAGATCGTTACCGTTGAACCTACTGCACTGGTGCTACGCTTCTAGCGCTGCTTCCTATTTGGAACTCCGCTTTAGAATGTAACACGTAGTTGTTGCACCCTGAGCCGCTTCCGAATTGGAACGTGCGTACGGGTCCTCGACTACGTGCCGATGAGGGATAGTTCTTCCCCATTGCACCCCAATAAGAACATACTACAAAATGTATTAAAATTAAGTAGCATAAGACTTAACGTTGATATGAAACACCACCATAGATATTACAGGTGTGATTACCAAAAGTAGCAAAACATGGCATTTTTACGTTTTTTTCGTCGTTATGAGAAATGAAAATGGCGGGCTGAGCTCGTGTATGTGAAACTGCGCCTACTGATAGCACATATGCCAAGGCAAATAAACTCTTCTACTGTGGCTATATTATTGTTCTGTGGTTATTATTATGGTGGCACTTGACATGGCTATTTGCATTTGGTTTGGCAAACAATCACCAAGAGTTCCTCCAGGGAAGTACTGCCACCTTACCTATTTCTGCGCCAAGCAGTTATGTTAGCATTACCGCGTTCCGGTTTAGAAGTGTAAGGGTGCTGGTGAAATTACAGGCACATGGGACTTGTCAACTCTGCCCTCGTAATGAAAAAAGGTACAACTATGCGTACTTTATATGACAGTTGTGTCTTTTTCGTTCCTAGGGCAGAACTTATGTCTCAGGGTGACGGGCGCAGTGGCAGTGCCTCTGAGGCACTGCAACTGTTATGGACAGTCGTGTGTGTAGCTTACCATCAGGTTCACGACTTTCCCGTCACAAAATGTGTGATAAAGTATTTGCCTTGTTTGCCTATTCGACAAATAGAGCAAACGCCAAACTCGCGTTACTACGTTCTGGTCGGTTTCTCCACGCTCATCAAATGTGCCAAATAGGCAAATACGCAAGTAAACCGTCCACACTACGGTCATATTTATTATTTTAACTCCTTATTTAAATATTTTTCCAAGTACATGACACACCGAATAACGAATACAAGTAGCTAAGTGAAGTTCCGCCATTATTGACACAAAGATAGAACAAACAGAAGTCTGTATGTCAGACTTAGTAGCAGGCACATAGAGAAATTCTTAAGATCTGCTGACTCGATCTCTAGCTCAGTTGGTAAGAGCGGTAGCCACGTTGAGGCAATAGATACTGGTGCAAGTCCGGTCCGATCGAAGGAACTTTGCTTTGTATTTATTCGATCGATAATATTGCCCTACTTTACATAACTAACGTAATCGACATTTTAAAGAAATTTGTTAACTAATAATAAAAAGTTATTAACTAATATCTGGAAACAGCGAACCGAGATCTACAACCCCCTCTCATCGGTTTTTCTGTATCTTATTTAGTTTCTGTCTTATTGTTTAGCAAAATCAGGAACACTTTAAAAAACCACTGACCATATTAAAGGAACATACTGTGTATTGAAAATGTTTTTCGGTTTCTGAAAAATTATGAACAATATTGAGACCCGACTATTAACAGACTCTGTTGCTATAGCAACAAGAACGGTATGGGGCAGTGGATGGATTCAGCGCGCGAGTTTATGTATTTGACAGACAACAAATTGTTAAACTGCTGCGTCGACGTGCTGGCGTCTAGACACCTCGGCGCCGATCGCTCAATTTTATTTACTATTTTGAGGTAACCAGGCGTTAAAAATTATTGGGAAATATTGACATAAAAATAAGATGATTTTTGTTGTATATCACTAAAGTGTTCTATTACTGACTCTTATGTACGAGATAAAAATGGACAGTGACTTTAAAAAAGTCACCCATTTTATAGATATTTTCCACTATAAATTCAAACCAAGCAAAGCCACGTCTTTTCTATTCAAAGATGGTTTTCGTAATGGCGGCCACCTTTCAGCGTTCCGTTGATACGATTATGATGACATTGATTTATTTCTTATTTCGATAAAACTAATTCTTAATGAAGCAAAGTAACACAAGTAATTTATATTTGTTCTTTGAATGCAAACCAATTAATTATTTTGCAGACCAAGTCAATTCTCCCTGATGTAATAACAGCGGATTCCAGCAGTCAGGGGCAGAAGTTCATGCAGGTGATTGACCCGGAGAAAGGACTCATGCAGCTGGATTTACTCAATTTGACTCTCGTCAGGTTAGTTTCTTTGATTATTACTATTATGAACAGATATTGCTTTCCAGATACCAGCCTATAGACACCTGCCTGCTAAAAAAACATTTTGATGACCTTGGAAATAAAGTTTTCTAATTTGCTTCTGATTTGTATGTAGCAGTAGAGCTCCTTGTGGAAGAATTCGTCCAGGGAAGTACGCCATCTTACCTATTTCTACCGTAATGTGAGCATTACTGCGTTCCGGTTTTTAAGGGTGCTGGTGAAATTACAGGCACATGAGACTTGTCAAGTTCTGTCCCAGTGTGACGGGCGCACTGGTAATGCCACTCATATCTGTTTTATAGTGTGGTTCTTTATAATAAAAGTCTCAGTCGAGTTTAACACTTGTAATTAATTTAAAATGTAAATTACATCCATCGTAGACATTCCAAATTGTACTTGTCATCGACAAGATGCTATATAATCTCAGTACAGAGTACTAACAAAACCAACCTCAAAAGTACGTGGAATTACATATAATTACCAAGTTTTATTGAAATCGGAAATTGCGCAAACCCGGATTTATCTCCTAGCTCGCCACTTTACGGCACTTGACACAGGAGATAATAAAAATCGGTTCTCACTACTCAAAGTATATTGAGAGAGAAAAACGCCTTGAACTGGAGAATAGCAAAATCAACCATTAAAATAATTGCTCCTTATAATAAAATTTAGGCGTTGTTTATAAAAATGAATCTTCATGCGTGAACAGCCACTCTTAGCGGTGGCTGATTTTCTTCAAAATTAAATGGGACCACTATGGAGGTACCCTCTTTCAAACAAAAAAAGGATCATCAAAATAATTATTATTATTGCACTTCAACGCCGCACTATGGAAAATGGTAGAACAAGCACGGATCAAAAATCATTTTGAACAATGTCGTTATTGATATATTTTTTAATTTTATCGTATAGTTTAATGACGCAACTAATTTATACAGAAGCATTTTTCCATAAAAAACGTATAGTTTTTTTTATACAAAATGTCAAACATGATTGAACGAAAACAATATTTTTGAGGGAGTTCACTACTCATCTTTGCAAGTTAATTTGAATAGTAAATATTATAAGAAATTAGTAAGTGTTATACATTTTTAAAAAGGTTATTCTTTGTAGATTTTCACAACATACTTTATTTATATTTTGTATTAAAAATTACGTTTAAATAAATCGAAAATGAAATAAGGACAAAAACCTGTGTTTTTAAAATTGATTAAGAGTTTTGACACTTACCAACGTCCTCCCTACTTGAGATTCGAATGTTAAATGGTAGCCTAATTATTAAATAATAACATGTATAAAAATTGGCTGCGCCTTTTTGCGCTTTTCGAAGTTATTGGTACAAATGTGATAAGAGTCCGAGAAACGGAAAACCACTATCTGCTGCGGTTTCGAGTGTTGATCGTTTCTATTGATAGTTTGAGGTAAGTTTTGTTATTTACTATTAAAAAAACATAGTTATGACAAACTTGATCAGTTTTGCACTCATTATGTGTGTGAATAAATTTATCAAAACTCTGCACACGAACCTTTTTTTTAAATGGTATATAAAGGGCTGATTTTATAATAGTTCATTACAGATTCAAAAGATATTAATATACGCGCGTTTGTTAAGGACAGTTGTCTAAACGTGAAATAATAGTTTCGTATATCGAAGGAGGAAAAACTATGGAAGCAATATCAACTCTTTTGAAAGAAAATCATCAAATCTCTGAAGACAACATATGCTTCATTATCAGTGACATTCAAAGACGTATGATTCCCGTTTTCAATACAAAATGGGAGCAAGCTTCTCGGAAAAAAGAAAGGTTTTTGAAGAACAATAGCAATTGGCTGGACTTGGAATATTCTGTGACTATACCCACTTCAGAAGGCGTTTTAACCGATACCACTCCATCTACATCTTCTGGAAAACGTGGAAGACCATGCATATCTTACGCAGACTCGTCACAATCTAGCAAGAAAAGAAAAAACTCAGTGTTGCTTAATGAATATGGATTTGAGCATATTTATAATGCATACATACAGGGATTACGTTCGATAGAAGAAGGAACGGAAGCAAAACTTGTGGAAACATTAAGATTTGCTGACAGAGAAAAGAAGATATTAATCTCGAGTCTCATAGAAAATCCAAGGCAGAATAAAATGCTTATAGACGAAGAAGCATTAAGCATTTTGATTGACTTAGATTTAACGAAAGCACAATACTTGTATTTGAGAAATTTAACAGACGAAAGAAACTGTTCTATATTCCCACCATATTACAAAATACAAGAGATTAAACAAACCTGCTATCCACCATCTGCAACTATTGAAATTACAAACATAGGAGCAAGAGTAGTAAAACTTCAAGATTTATTAGATCACACAGCAGCCAGGATTTTAAGAATAGATTCTGTATATAAAGATGGATTAAAACATTTACTTCTTTACAGTAAATGGGGATGTGATGGTTCATCAGGACAAAGTCAGTATAAACAGAAGCTTCCAGAAGAGTCTGAAGTTGTATCAGATGCTAACTTATTTATCACTTCTTTAGTACCCATTAAATTAATTAATGAGCTAACAGGAGATGTAGTATGGCAAAATCCTGTACCTTCGTCTGTACGTTTTTGCCGTCCTATATTATTAGAGTTTTGCAAAGAAACGCCTGAGAAAACTAAAGCAGTTGTGGATGACATAAAATTGCAGATAAATTCGTTGATCCCAACTTTGATTAATAGAGAAGGCGAGGGAGTTCAAGTAAAACATGAACTTTTCTTAACAATGATAGACGGTAAAGTAGCTCAAGTATTAACAGAGACACCTTCTGGCTCCACATGTACAATATGCAGAGCTACTCCACGGCAAATGAATGATTTGACGAGAGTGACTGCTAGGCCTGAAAATGAAGAAAGTTATCAATACGGACTTTCTACATTACATGCCTGGATACGTTGTATGGAGATGATTTTACACATTTCCTACAATCTTTCTTTTAGAACATGGTCTGCAACGACTGAAGAAAAGAAAAGACAAAAACAAGAGAAGAAAACTCTAGTACAGAAACGTTTTCGTGATGAGTTGGGACTGATAATTGACCAACCACGTCAAGGAACAGGAAATAGCAATGATGGCAATACTGCTAGGAGATTTTTTTCTAATGCAAGTTGCTCTGCTGAAATTACTGGTGTGGATGTGACTTTGATAAAACGTCTCTACATAATACTACAAGCACTTTCATCAGGTGTGATGGTAGATGCGGAAAAATTTGGTAGTTATGCTATGGAGACTGCCAGGATTTATGTCAGTAATTATGAATGGTACTATATGCCATCCTCAGTTCACAAAATCTTAATACACGGAGAAAGTATTATAAAGCATTTTGCAGTGCTTCCGATTGGTCAACTTTCGGAAGACGCACAAGAATCCCGTAATAAGGATTACAAAAACTTTCGCCTTCATCATGCCCGAAAATGCTCCCGAGCAGCCACAAATGAAGACGTATTTCATACTCTTCTTTACACATCAGATACATACATAACAAGCATTAGAAAACCATACAGCAAAAACGTTAAAGAACTCGATGAGGATACACTACATCTTTTGAAAGTGAACGAATTAATTTTAGATCCGGAAGCTCGGCAAGTTTAGTTGGCAAAAATCTATTAATAAATATTTATACAAACCATATAGGTATAAATTGCAATAGGTACATTAAACCTTTAATGTGCATTTAAAATAATATTAATAACTTTCAATACACTTTTTTTTCAGTTATTGTTTAAAGTAGAATTAGCTTTTCATATTTTTATATTAATGTATCTTGGTAATGTAGTTGCATATTTATGTCTTAATTCCTACGAAACATAAATAGTTACTAACATAAAAATGAATAAACTCCATTTATTGATCGTTTTTATTGGACTTTGATTTTTAATATTTTATAATAAAATATGTATTATACTAATTTATACCAAACTATCACATTCGAAGCCTTATATATTCCTCTACAATAACGAAAAATTTCAAGACATAATTTTAAGAAACAAAAAAGTTATTGATTTTTGATCCGAAACGCACCCATATTTTCCATAGTGCGCCGTAGAGGGACTGATCTAAAGCTCTTCTTCAGATGTGACGACGGCGAGGAGTCTTACCGCCTGGTCACCAGCGCAGACGCAGACGGCTCTGACATACCAGCCGACGCAACTGTCACCTGCGTGCTGCAGTCCAGTGATGGTGAAGGTAGGGTCATAAATAATTGAAGTCTAAAATCGTGTTATTACCGATAGAAAGGTCAAATAAAAGCACAGAAGAAAGGTAACCTATCACAAACTCGAATTTTTTTTCCGAAATAGCGTTTCTTCGAATTTTCATTACACCGAATTATAACAAAACCGTTGTTCTTTCAGGATATGTTGGATGTTTATCGGAAAGACACGATTAGGTTCGGTAAGGTTAAGTTAAGTTTAAAAGAAAAAAAAAACATTTTTCCTCTCAAAATTACTTTCGAGGTTATGAAAATTCGATCAAAACGTCATTTCTGGAAAACGTCATTTTGGATTACTGATTTGTTTATTAAGGGTGTCACCAAACGGAATCTCCGGTCACAAAAACATTTATGCTGTAAGATCGAAAAATACTATGACGATGCTATCTCTTTCATAGTCAACCTACCTTTTTATCACCCCTTTCTCTGGTTCGTAGCCACTTGCTTTTGAAATTTTGAATCGTTCTCTTAATCCTTTTTGAGAAAAGACGTGTCCTTCAATCGTGGACCCGCTCACACACACTAGACCCGGACTAGGACAACCCAGTATCGCGGATGCCACAGACACACACATAGACAACCTCAAATTACACCCAAATTCACGAGAGAAATAAATGTAGGCTATGCAAATATTTCTCCCGACCCGTGAATCGAACGCAGGACCCCTGCGTTGCAGTCATGGCAACTGTTCGGCTACGAAAGCAATCAAGTTAGTTACGAGGTTTACAAATGTAGGCGACGATATTAAGTTTTGACATTCTGTTTGTTCAGATCCTGACACCCAGGAGTCGTACGTGATGATGGAGGGTGAACAAGGTCTGGTGTTCCTGCAGTCCGCATTGACGCAGCACGAGGAAGCGGAGCCGCCGATTACGCCGCCACAGCCGCAGCCGCAGCCGCAACGTAGCAAAGAACTTTCGGTAAGATTGATTTAAAAAAAAGTTACTCACTAAAACACCCACATCTGCTACTCATCAATAAATACATTGTGTGCTACCTGTAAATATTTAAAAAAATACAATAATTAAGATTTGAGTAAAATCGCCAACTGTAAAATGAACATAGTTATACAAACTAGAACCAACCCACAAAATGTCACTTTCGAGATAATTAGATTTTTGTAAAAACAGTGTGAAGAAATAAATAGGTAAGTTATTTGAGACAAACAACGTGAGTTATGTGTAGCGTTGAGAATGATATAGGGAAACTATTATATTATACAGCAATAAATAGACAACATTATGTATCATTTTATTTAGTTAACAAGAACCATGTTCTAGTTTTCGTAATGAAAACGCTAAAGATCTACAGTACTTAGTACATGAGACATGGATCCATTTAGCATATTTAAAAAAATACATTATATGAAGTTAAGCACTATGGTTCTTCCTAGCTATTAAAAAGTTACTTATTTAGGGTTGGTACCCTGAAGGACTTTTATTTTCTCCGTTTTGGCTTGGTATATTGCCAGGATCTTTTGTGAGCGCGTAAAGGACACGTCTGGTGTTCTACCTAAATACATAACTCAATTTCACTCGAGGTGTGGGTTGGTTCTTGTTTGCATAACTATGTCCAAATGGCAACACCATCGGCAATATTTTTTTATTAATTGATTTTATTGTTTTAAGAAAAAACTATACATAAGTATTGTAGAGCACCGTTAAACCCACGGAAGAAAAAAAAACAATGGAAGTGCCTCGATTACTATGAGAAACGTTGTCGCCAAAACTCACACACTCTTAATTTCAAACGCTTCAACATTTTGATATTGATTGGTCGTAGTTTCAAATTTAAAAAGATATAACACATTCTGGATTGTTAATATAATTTACACTTTGCCCTGTTGTCATATCGTTGAAAGTACAATACGATCAATATCTATTATTGCAAGTTACGTTTTGATACTGTTTTGAAATTACAATCAATGTGCTGCCATCTAGCGATTAATTGCTGAACGACGACGAATTAGAGTTACTAATTTAGGTCTCCAAAAAAGAGCGACCATATTGCAGCGTTACTTTCGTTTCTTGTAACAAAAAAAACATTTCGATAAACAGACAATTTAAAATTTATTAAGAGTTTCCGATGATATGAAATACCACCACGGGTAATATATTTTTGTGCGGCTATAATTTTTCCACTCTAAAACCGCACAATAAGGCATTTTTCTAGGATTTTAGAGAATTTGCACGAAAGAATGACACAACCATACCAAAGCGAAAAAGTCGGATTGAGTTCAGATAGTTTCAAGACCTATAGTTGGCACGCGTCAGACGCTAACTAACCACTTCTACTGTATTTGTTGTTCTGTGATTAAACCCTACTTGGGTTTGTCTCGATGACATTCATTCCTTCTGCTATGAACGAACTGACACAAAAAAAAATTAATCTTTAAAGTTGTTTTCATTTTTATTTGGAGGCATACATTTGTATGACAAGTGAAGACGCAAGCAACGGCAAAGAATACTATTATTACAACGACAAAGTATACCGGCCGGAAACCGGTTTGTTAATAAACATACAGGATGCTCCAAAATCAAATGTTAGCACATTAAGTAAAGAATAAGTTTAATTTTAAATGTTATGTACTTTATAGTGTATGCAGGTGTAGTATATATTAATATATATTATTTTATTACTATATGTAAATAGATGTAAATAATGGAGGGGCATTGAAGTGTTCGGATAGATGAACGGTTTAAGCAACGTGATCACACGTTACGGTTTGATCGGGACAGTTCCGCTTTGCCAAAATAGGACACACGTGACATTAATTTGAAAAAAGGTGCGAAAGCGAAAAATGTAGAAAGCCAGCCCACCAGACTACACAGTCTAAGTCTTCTTATTTTTTTATTACTTTTTTTTAAATTTTTTTTTTTAATTTTTTTAAATCAATAAACATTACGTAGCTATCACGTTTTATTTTTAAATCTACTTATAATGAATTTACAGGTGTCCCGCTCTGAAGGATAAAAATAGTGGTCACGTTAGGTTATACCTATATAAAAGAAGTGTTTTTCTGTTTATCGTCGATGTTTTGCAGATAGTTATTTCGAAAAAATTTTCCGTGGAGCATGTTTGATGTTCTAACGACTGTTTTAAAATTTTCATATTACGTGCCTCCATGGCCGAACAGTTACCATATTATGACTGCCACGCAGAGGTCCCAGGCTTTAAATTTTGGTTTTAATTGAATTCGGACGTCAGTTTTTAGACGTGAAATGACTAAAACATGCTCACTGAAACATTTTTCGAAATGGCGTTTTCGCCCTTTACGTTATGTTCTTTTGAAGCTGTATACAGTAGGACATTGTGAATGAAGCCTTCGCAAAATCGCGATGACTTGATGCGAGCAGGATTTGTTTCTTTGCTTCCTTTACTGTTTTTTTCTATGAACGAACTAACGTGCGCCTATTTTATTTTCATTTACTTAATGTAGTTTCTCTTCCTCTATAACTAAGCATTTTTGTTTTAGAAAAAGAACTTATCACCACAAGAACTGTTAGACAAAGCAAAAGCTCTACAAAAAGCCAAGTAAGTATAACTGCGGTTTTTAACTGGTTACAAGCCTACTGCTTAAGAATCTATACTGCCCCAAATGGCTTTGGTTGATTCCAATAAATCACTCTGGAACAAATATATAGTAAAATTGAGTATATACTCTGATTACTATACGGTGTGAAAACACCTAAAACATTCCTAAAAATTTTCACGATGGGAAAAGAAAACCGATGTATTAGTAGCAGTAGGGCTCCTTGTGTGTCCAGGGAAGTACTGCCACCTTACCTATTTCTGCCGCCAAGCAGTAGTGTCAGCATTATTGTATTCCGGTTTTGAAGGGTAGGTGTTGGTGATATTACAGGCACATGGGACTTGTCAACTTATGTTGTGTTGCTTACCATCAGGCGTACGACTTGTTCGTCCCCTCACTTGATATTATAAAAAAACAATTCAATAGGTACGTTACCAAACAGTATACGATATATATTTTTCAAATCATCAAGGAAAATGAAACTTGTTAGTACGGGAAAAAATTTCGTTCGAGACGAGTCAGTATCGACTCGAAACTGGGGGTCTACTCTCGATCTCCGTCCGACATCCGTCCGAAACAATTACTGCCAAACAAGCAGTACTTGACCAAATGAAAAGACGCGTGATGCGAATGAAGCTACATACTGGATACTTGTCTTTTAATTAAAATTATATCAGCAAAACATACTTTTATTTCAAGATTTTTTGTGTTTCTTGGACCATTTTTGTACAATAAATTAAACGCCAAATATTCCATTTATAATTTCTGTTGCTTCAAGGTAAAGAAAATTCTCCAAGAAGCTCTTCAAAATATGTCCTATGAGGATACAGAGAATTTATTTACTATCGTAAAATAAATGTTGTCTTGTATAAGTGTACATTTTTTGATTGGCAATTTATTGTTTAATTTTATTTCATAAGATTCTCCTAAAAAGTATTTATAATATTAATAGTATCCACGTTTTATAATTAGTAGTACTTTTTACCTGAAATACAGGAATTTCCTAGTTCAGGTACATGTGTTGTTTTTACATTAAATCGCATAAGTAGTCTTTAGTTTTCTCTGTACATTATGTTACTGAATAAACAATTTTATTTATTATTATTATTTATAATTTTGTCGAATATTACTTATTTGACAGTAATTGTTTCGGACGGTTGTCGGACGGAGATCGAGAGTGTAGACCCCCTGAGTCGGTTCTTTAGGTACGTGCGCGGTGCGGGAGGGGTGACAGTTTACGTGCACATTTTTCTATCAATATTCAATAACAACTTGATTGAAAAAAATTGCCAAATTGCTTGTCTATTAATTTGAATTATCAATGAACTATTTTTTTTATTATCGTTTTATACACAAACTAAAAACAAGTATTTGTTGTCAGAAACATATTCTGTCATACGCGCATCGGCAAGCGCGGGCGGCGGCGAAAAGGTGAACTCCCCCCACCGCAGGAGATGCTGTCTTCTCCTGACTTCAAATTGTTCTTATACAGCTGCAAGCTGTGTAACTTTAAATGCAACGCCATTAAAGAATTGGCCGCTCATCGGGTAAGTATGTGGTTAAGAAATCAATTAATACATCTAGCTGGAATTCCATGCCGAATTATATACCCCAGTTTTGTGACATGCTCATTTTTTCCAAATTCTTATAATTTGAACAATTTGTATTGTTGTGTTTGCGAGAGTAGAACACCGGTGTGACAAACACGTACAGTTTCAAAGAAAAAAATAAAATAAAATGGAGTTAGTTTCGTAGTTGCCGATTACTTTAAAATGGTAACCTATCACAAACTCGAATTTTTTTTCTGACATAACGTTTGTTCGAATTTTCATTACACCGAAAACCGAATAAAATATCCTGAAATAAACAGTTGTTATTTTAAGATATTTTGGATGTTTATCGCAAAGACACGATTAGGTTCGGTTAAGTTAGGTTCTAAAGAAAATAACATTTTCCTCTCAAAATTACTTTCGAGATTATGAAAATTCGACCAAACGTTATTTCTGGAAAAAGTCATTTCGGAACTACTGATAGGTAACCCTTTAAAATGTCACACCTTTAGAATGAAAGTAACCCAATACAAAATTTCAACTTTTTAGGAATGCGCAAAATACAATTTGAAGTTGGGAAATTTTTACTTTATTTAATTAATTACTCTTAAAGTACTAAGATAATGTAATGACATAATGGCTCCTTTCGTGTACCACCGGTCTTTGTTTTAATAACTATAAGAATGAACCTCGCTTAAAATTGCGCATTCATCATAATTTCTAAATAATATAGATTTTCCATGACTAATAATGATTAGTTCTGGAAAATCTATATTATTTAGAAATTATGATGATTTTCGGAACGGAAAAACATCTTTGTCATTTTTTCGCCAACTGTGGTGACGTGTTGTATTTGCAGATACAGGCAACAATAAATGTGTCGTTTACATACCGACGCGCGAGTGGAATTTAAAATAATGAAGTAGACTCATATAGCGAACCTATGCCATTCGAGCTTTAAAGTGTCAGTTCCAGATGAACAATGATTTTTAAACTCGTTTTACGGTATAAACTCATATTGTTATTTTTTTTAATTAGGTCACTGTTATTCTAAAGGTGCGATGTGTGTCATTTACGGATTCATCGAATGACGTAGTCGGTTGGTCAATAATATTCAAATATTATTAATTATGATTTTTTAAATATTTATCTGGATGAAAATGACTTCATTTTATTTTTTTTCCGAAACCATACATATGAGTGTGTGTATGAACCGTACATATGATAGTATGTGTGTGTGTGTAATAGACCAGTTTATGTTCCTGAAACAACGAATGCAAAAAACGAGTATAAAAACTCGCCCTATTAAAGACCCGTGGCCGGCAGCGGGCGAGTACGTGACGGAGGGGTGTTGTTACAGTCGCTGGAGCACGGGCACGGCGTGGCGAAGAACCGCGCGCCCGCCATCACGCTGCAGTGTGCGCGCTGCCCCTACAGGGGCGGCACTCACGCGCAGGTAATTTTCTTGCTCTGTTTCTCCGGGGTTGGCTCGCAGCGAGGGACTTGCACCTCGACCGAGTATATTGTAGAGAATTCAAATTCATTTGTTGCGTTCAACGTGGTAAGTACATACTTGATGGTGTTTCGAGAAGACTCAAAAAAAGAAAAAAAAACCGAAGAAGAAGTCGTAATGTAAGACACAAATCGACCCCTCCTACGTATTTTACTTTTTTTCTCAGTTTTATTCGGCAAAACTCACACAGAGTATTATAAAATCCTAGAAATCGGTTAGATGAACAACCACAATTTATTTTATCATTTTACAGTTTAATTTAGCATTTCTATACTAAAGTCACGTGTTATATTCATTTCAGTGAAAACAAAACTTAATGCTCCCCTGTAAACTTGGCAATTTCGACATACGATAGTTTACGTAGGAGGGGTCGAAATACCTAAATAATTACAAAAGAAAATCGCAAACAAAACAAAAATAAAATGAAAACACAGATTATTCGTAAGGATGTTAAAAATAAAGATATTTTCTGTGGTACCAGCCGCCGTAGCAAGGGGCCAACTAGGTCAGTATTTGCAGAATGCTGTTTCACCCATTTCGTCCCTCGAGCACACACCCTCTTTGATCTTCTTGTTCATCACAGCGATGACAATCGCTGTTTTCTCGTGGTCCCACTAGCAGGACTACGAGTGAGGCTTGTTTCTTGTAGACCCACTGCTTTCTATAGTAATGAAAATGTACTCCTGTATTTGTAATACATATACTACCTCTTTCCATTTAAACTCCACAAAAAATGCAATAAGTGGGTTTTACTGGAGATTCAAACTACATCGTGAGATACAGGAGCTTCATCCGTACGACGGTAAAATCTTCCTTCTTGCCATTCTATTAAAACGAATGTAATTGCATCTTGATGATGTTATGAACCTAGGTGCACCAATGTGCTAGGGTTACAAATGAGTCCATGTATCCAAGAGGATAGAATAATTAAATTCATGATCAAGGATGAAGTTCCTGTATCTCACGATGCAGTTTCAAGCTCCCGTTTGCATTTTTTGTGGAGTATTCATACACCATCATTTATATTTTTTATTTTAAGCACGATAAGGTTGATAGCCGTCGTTTTCAACGTTAATGTTACATAGGCAGTAGTGAAATGGTAGTGGGACCACAAGAAACAAGCCCCTCTCGTTCCATACTAAAATGCAAAGAATACCTGACCGTTTTGTTAAAACATACATTCGCTTGTTGCAGCTAATGAAACACGTAAACGCGATACACATGAATGAGAATGAGTCTAGCGCAAGTGAGTATTGACTATGATTCTCGTCACTGTAGCAACGCTACGTATGCCTCGATTTGTAGTAAACACAGAATTGTTCGTTTTAATTTACACGTAACGCCATCTAGCGGCATGCAACTGGACTAAAGTTAAATCGATTTGTTTGAATTTTAGACAAAGTGAGCCTGGACAGCAAGGAAGTGGAAGAAGCCGATGTCCTTGTCTGCGGCGCTTGCGGCTACGAGTCGGGGGATAAGGGTGCATTCAGGAAACATATTGTTGAGGAGCACGGTGCTACTACCACGTAGTTCGAAAGGTGTGTGGTTTGTGATGTCACTTAATTTATCAATGAAGGATTTTCGCTGTCCAAAATAACTCTGATCTAACATACCGAAAATTCAAGGAACTTTCAACGACTTCTTAAACGTAATTTTCTCAAATAGTTTTTTTTCTAAACCGTCTGTTTAGTTAAATTATTCTAAATTCGGGTATGAAACGACATTCGCAAATTAATAAGAAACATGAAAAAGACTTTTAAGGCGTTTTATAACGACTCCTCTCCATTTTACAGAACTCGACTCTAATAAAATTAAGACTGGGGGTTGAATTTTTTATTTATAGGACTCAGTCTTTAGAATAATAACGCATAGAATGATAGTTTCATATCAAACGAACTGTTACAAGTGAGGCAAAAATCAAATTCATGTAGGCTAGTTTTAGTAGTAGGTTAATTTTCGGTTTTAGTGAATATTTATATAAAAATACAAATTGAAACGCGTTACTTCCTTGTGGAATGTGATGTTAGTATCTATTTTATGTTTGTCTGACGTATTTTTACACTCATTTACCGCACATTTCGTCATTTTTAGCTAAAATTCTTGATCTGGTCGCGGTGCAAGTTGACCTTGAGCACTGAAGCCCCGCCCGCTCGTGTAGGCCCATTGGGCGCGCTTCAATTTGCCTCACTTAGCGTGTGCGGACTAGGTTTCTATGCGTTATTATTCTAAGACTCAGTCGTTATACTAAAAGACTCAAAAGACTTAAACGATTAGATTTGTTTGCAAAGGACTTATACCTTTTTTATGTCTTATTAAACCCGAAGTTTATAAAGAAAAATGACAAAAGTTGTATGTAGTATATAATCACGTTTATTTACTTATAATAAAAATCGTAAAATAAATACCTAAGAAATCACGCCATACGGCTCATGACTCGCGACTCCCGAGGCTATGAGGCGCCAGTCGTTTTAGTCCTATAAGTCTTTTAAGTTTCCTAGGGTTAAAAGACTTCGACTCGAATTAGTTTTCAGTTTTAGTGTTATGCCTCAAGACTCGAGGGTTAAAAAACTTAAAAGACTTAAGTCTCTTTTATCACTAATCCGAAACCACCTGAGAAAAGTGTTCAAAGTTACCCAACTTGACTGTACACTGACGACTGAATTTAGAACAAATATGAACAACCTGTACATTTTTTAACTTGTTTTTCTCAAGACTTTGGAATCAAGCACTGTGTCAAGCAGCAGCTTAACTTAGTAATCTTGTTTCAGGTATCGAAGAATGTGTCCCAACACCTATTCCAAGTCTGAAGTGATAGAACTGTTAATTTAAGATTTAGATAACGTTATTTTAATAAATTATGTTCATCGATATATAGGCAATTTTCCTTACAAAATTTCCTTAAATAAAATAGGTTATACAGGTTGTAATCGTTAAGTGTACTTGGAATGGACCTTTCGTCTAAGAAGTCGTCCTGAAGTAGTGAACGAGCAGTAGCTTGAAAATGTTTTCAAGTGTAAAATACCTTAGGAATGATTTGACTTTGACCCAGTTCAAAGGGTTTTGAAAAGACTATTTTCATCACGCTTAATAGTCTTAGGGTCGTATTCTAGGACTCAGGAGGTCAGGATTTGAGTATGGTTTAAAGCACTCGAAATCATACTCAAGTCCCTGCCATTAGGGTCGTATTTCCAGTACTTGTGTTTCCAGTGCGATCCTGACTTGAGCATTGAGTAGAGTTCTAGAATACGACCCTTACACTCTTTTTTAATCCATGCTCAGTAGTAGGATGTATAGGAAAACAAACGACGTTTTATTTTGAAATTATGTACTAATTTAATTCCTCAGTCATTCAAAAGTACATTGAATTACACACTGAAATAAAAATATTTTACACAAACGTAAAGTTACGAAGACCGACAAATATTTTATTTCCTTTTTAGGCTTGGTACAGTTACGGACCAACAACTCGATTGTTACTCTCCATACTAAAGATAGTAACAAAGATCCTTTTAAAAAACAATATTATTTCAATGTAGATATCTACAATATTCATTGACTTACAAATAAATGGACGACGGGTCTTACACAAAAACCACGAAAAAAATGTCTCAAGTCAACCTATTTAAACGTAGTGACATGTAAAGGAATATGAAAAAGCTAAAACGTTGAATTTAAATTGTAATGTCATCGCAGTATCGCACTGTCAGTCAAACAAATGAAGACTAAAGCGGAGTTTGACGCTCTGTATACGATTTTAACGCCTTACAAGTGCGGACACTTTTTAGCGCGGACCCGACGTCCATATAGTTGTAAGTCAATGATAATATTACTCGTATTCGTACCATGACAAACCTGTCAACCAAGTAATGTATTATTGCTGAAGTGACTGAAAGAACGTATGATTTCCTAATATTGTCTATCCCTTACTAAAAATAGGCAAGAAATGACGCTGTATGAACTTTTTAATGCCATCTCTTTCTTTTTTGATGTTCCGAATAGTCCCATCGTAGTATAATGTTAAAGTAATTATTTCATCATCATCGTCATCATCAGCCTATCGTAGTCCACTGCTCGACATAGGCCTCCCCCAATGTGCACCATTTCGCCCGGTTCTCAGCTTGTCGCAGGCATTTCCCGCCAGCGACCTTTCGTAGGTCGTCACTCCACTCGGCCGGAGGGCGTCCTACACTACGTTTGCCGTTAATTATTACTTAATCATTTACATTCAATGAATTTTAACTGCTAAAAAAAAAGAAATGTATGTAATAATGAAATCTATTAAAATTACGTTGTTTTCAATTATTTTTCCGCATTTTCATGAAGAAAAATACATAAAACAGGCTGAGTCGTCACGTTGTAAATTCGGAATTATAGTCTAGTGTCAACTGTTAGTGTTGCCAAGGAGCATATAGATGTCGCTGTCATAATTTTAAGAAATAAACATCGCGTATTTTTATTTAACGACAAATTATTTCCTATGTACTGTTAAATTAAAAAAAATATTGTAGAGATATATGTAAATTTACGTATAAATTACAAATCAATATTTAGACAATAAATTCGAAAATAATATAGTTTCCATTGCATCCGTGTAACTATTTTAAGATTGCTAAATTTGATATAAGAGCATTATTACTTTTGTTAAAGTCGCGTCATAGTACGAACTGAGTGAATGAATAGTCACAAAGCTGCCAATGAAACATCGTAGTTTTAACATTATAATAAGCTTACTTGAAGCGCGTCATCGTACGAAAAGTCAATGTAAGGTTAAAATAATATTGTTTTAAGAGGTGGCAGGCCCCCTGGAAGAAGTTTAGATATTTATTTTATTTGGTTCACAAAACTGGATACAATTCAGATATAAACTAACAGTATTTCATTTGTATAGTGACAAGATAAGAGTGTATCCTACTTGATGTGACCACAACATGCAAAACAGGCCAAATGAAATAACCGTATAAACACCAAATTATTAAATAAGTGACAGTAAATTCTAAGTTTCAAGTATATTTACATATTATATTATGTAAATGGCCGTGGATATCAATTAATTCCTATTTAATATGAAATATAATTATAAATTCAAATATTGAGAGTCGTATTCCAGAACCATACTCAATGCTCAAGTCAGGACTTGAGTATGATTTAAAGCACTGAAAATCATACTCAACCTTGTCATTAGGGTAGTATTTCCAGTGCTTGAAATCAAACTGAAGTCTGCTTAAGTCCTGACTTGAGCATTGAGTAGAGTTCTGGAATACGACCCTGATTTTCATTATTTTCTGAAATTTAAGTAATATGCGTGTCGTTAGATTGTGTGTTACAAATTAGATGGCGTTAATCCTAAACAAAATAAAAGAATAGCCGGCACTATCCATAAAAATCTGTGCAATAAGCGCCATCAACAAACAAATCAATTGTTTGTTATCACTATAAATTAAAGTAGCTTTGATAAATTGCAGCTTGTCAATCAATGTGAAACAAATTAGTTATAAAAATAGGTTATTAGCTATATAACTCGAAATAGAGACGAAATGTTTTTTAGTTTGTTTAAAAACTATTCTGTCAAATCATTACGGTGACAACTGCGCTCCGATTGGCCACCGCTTAACATGAAAAATTACATATTTAATTACCGATTAAATGTGATTCCGTTTGTTTTGTAATTAGATGTTTTGCTGTTTTTCCCACACCACCGAATGGAACAGCCCCCCATAGTTAGATTATCTTTATTACAATAAATACAGAATTTATTACACACAGGTCAGTTGTTGGCACTGTATTATCTCAGCTTTCCAATTTGTGATTTCAGCGCAGAGACTTGATATTTAAAAATGATATAAGGCCCATTTGCCTGATTAGTTGCCTGGGATGGATGGTCATTAGGGACTTGTCGCGACATCTGGTGTACCAATAGGTACTAAATATCCGACTACGCTGTCTTGTATCGCAATTAGCACTCTTGAGTTATTGGTTCATGGTACAGTCAAGATCGCATAAAAAATAATGAATGGGCACACGGGGTGCCCCACGGCGAGACATAAAGGGAAAGTACTTAAAATAATGCAGACAGGATATTTTACTTCATAGACAAATTATTCACTTGTAAATGTAAGCTTTTAATTTAAGATATTATGTTATTTTTTATTTATTCAACTTTTGACAGCTCGAAGTCTAAAAAAATTTGTGATGTCCTAATGCGTTTTGTTATTGGATTTTTGTAAAACAATCGATTTTATTTATTGAAGAAGTTTTAATAAAATAAAAAGTGAATGTGAGTCAATAAAGAAGATATTGAAGGTACAAATTATTGACTTACAAATAAATGGACAACGGGTCTAATACAAAAACCACGAAAAGAATGTCCCAAGTCAACCTATTTAAACGTAGTGACATGTAAAGGAATATGAAAAAGCTAAAACGTTGAATTTAAATTGTAATGTCATCGCAGTACTGTCTAATTCTGCTTGCTTCGCTGTCAGTCGAACAAACCAAAACCAAAGATCCGACAACAAGCACATAGACAAATTCGTAAAGTCCGCTGATTAGTTCCGTGCTTAATTGGCATAGCGTCTGGCACCGTTTGATAGAAGATTAGAAACATTCAATAACTTAGACTAAAGTAATGTGTCCATGAAGCAAAATATCTTATGTACAATAATTAAAGTGCTGTCCCTCCGTGTCGCATAACCGTGGGACACCACAAGGTGTCGTATACTGCCCTCGTAACGAAAAAAGGCACAACTATGCGTACTTTATACAGCAGTTGTACCCTTTTTCGTTCTGAGGGCAGTATACTAACAGCAGGGTTATTTGTAAACAACCTCGCATGACTGTTACTAACAATAAACAACTAGTTGTTCCATGACTGATAATAATAATATAGTTTATATAGATAATTCAGGTTTTGTTTTACAAATGCGTTAGCACCCCCTGGACAGCATCAACGCCCCCAATTGCTTCCGAGGACCCCTACCGCCCCCCTAAGACTCTTCAGCGCTCATTGGGGTAGTTTCCCAAAGTGGTCGATCACTTTGGGAAACTATGTTCTAAACGGAGATCACTATGTGCGGTAACAAAAGAAAGCGCTAGCGTAAATACCAGTCCGATGCAAAACGCAGAGGCGGGGGTGGGAGTCGTTGGGAAGGACGTTTGCACATTTAAACTTACTCCTAAAAAGTGTCGGATAGTACAACAAAAACTTAAAAGTTTATTTTTGTTCAATGCATTATGTTTTGTAAAAAGTTATGGAACAAAAATTGTTGTTTAAGACGTCAGTAGTTTAGAAATAACCTTGTATGTCGACCACTTTACTGGTAATTACAACGCGCTCTTACAATTAAAATTACAAATATTTCCTATAAGACTAAAGTTACAACATTACAGTTAAGGGCATTTGCGTTCAAGTTGTCCTTTGCCGCCCTCGTCGTACTCCTGTGATGATATCCACATTTGCTGGAACGACCCAATGGAAGCTAAGATCGAGCCACCTGAAGAGAGAAAAAATATATTTATACTCCGTAAAATTTAGACTGTCTAGAAAGATCACAGAATAATGGAAGTGCTTAGTTTGCATGGCACGTGGACCAACAGTCCGCGGAGTTCACCAAACTTGAGCTCAGCCCGCCATTTTCGCTTCGGACGTTATGGTCGTGTCGATTATCTCGAAAATCGTAGAAAAGTTGGAGTGCAAAAATGATAGTTGCACTTTTACTATTATCTATTGTCTATGTTTCGAAACATCATTAAGTCTTTAAATGCAATATAGTCGTTTTCTGAAGAACTAAACAAATATCTCGAATTCGTCGTCGTTCAGCTATTAACCGCTAGATGGCAGGATATTGATTGAAATTTCGATATAAAATCAAAACGTCGTTTGCAATAACAGGTATTGATGGTATTACATGAATATGCCAACGGGGTAATGTTTAAATTATATTAACAGTCCAGAATTTATTTCTTTACAAATTGTAAACTACGACCAATTATTACCAAGATTTCATAGTGTTTCAAATTTTAAATGAGTGAGTTATGCGACTAATCAAGACTTAAGGGACTTCCATTGTTTTTTTCTTCCGTGAGAATGACATATCGACAAAATTAGGACGACGTGTTTTTGTAGTAGCGCGCTACGAAATATATTTTGAAATACGATAAATCAATATATATCAAATATTTATTCATTGTATATCATGGTTTTTTACCACCATGATTTTCTTATATTTCTTGTTCTTAGTTTGTTAATAATAAATTAAAATATCTACTCATCCGTAGAACAAAGACCTATGTGGAAGATGCTGCTTATTCTCGGGACATTGTATTTCGTTTGTTGTGTATCCACAGTCAAGATCGACTGTTGTTCGATTGTATATTTCCGAAACGAACTAATAAATACATGAAAAATCTGAAAACACCTTTAAATAGGCCTTTTGAATAACGAGATTATGTTTTAACCTCTATTCGCTGTAAAATCACATAGCAATTTGTTTTTCGGATGAGTCGAAATATGAAACTAAAACTACTAAATTACAATTATTATACTCGTACTACATTAATAGTAACAAAAAAAAAATTTACTAAGTTTTTTTGTCCCATACCCGATTTTTTTGTCCCATACAATGAAATGAACCCTTCATGAAACTGAGTCGATTAGCACCAAAAAAATTTTTTAAACAATTTTATTAATTTTTATGGCCAATTCATGCTTGACCAAAAAATTGACTATGTCAAAGTTGTTCTCACAAAAGAAGACTTAGTGGTTTCTTGTATCTTCTATTGTTTCGGGTTTCCCCATACTGTACCAATTTAAAAAACACATTATCTGGTTTTTAATAGTACGTGTATTGTCTGTCAAGGGCGGTAAATAAGAAAGTATCAACAGGAGTTTATTAGAATGTGTGTGTGTGTGTGTGATTCGAGTTTTTAATTTTTCCGCCCGTGTTATGTACAATGTTTTCACCACATTTGCGAGGAAATAGATACAACGGTAATCTATTTCTTGTATGAATAAATATCGCTTCACAACACAACATTTACGGATTTTGCGAATGGCGGTTTTTTTTAAAACAGATCGTCAGCTATTCTTCCATAGATAATACAATTCTTACTAAAATGTAATGTAAAAGAAACAGACACTGTCAGCCATAATGTATTAGATATAAAACAAATAGTTTTCAAATTTGAAATTTACTGGAAAATCTGAATTTACAAGACAAATTTAGTAAAAGGGCCGTGGGTATAATTTAGGACATTACAGTCGACTTTGCCTGCGCGTCATGACACTGTTTACGAGCAAGTGTGATGAAAAAACATATACATCTAACTGCCCAGTGTTTATAACTGAGAAAATTAAAAATACCTATCTGTACCGCTTACTTAAAAAAAAGAAAATGGCGGTAACATTTATATAAAGTGTTTTGGCATTCTTTTGTTTTTTGTCTTTTTTGTCTTTTGGTCGCGAAAATGGGTGCTAGTGAGAAGAGCGATAATGAAAATACAGTAATAGATACATTTCCAACACATCATCAGAAGTTCAGCAGATTACTATTATTAATGTGACTGGAAAAACATTTTCTTTAAGCAATCGATATAAATTGTAATGTTAGTTGATATTTTTTCGTAAATTTTTATTGAATTGATATTCAATTATTTTTTGTGAAATTACTCCACTAGTTTGTTATAATTATTGATACAAAGATTGAATACTAAGAAAAAAATCCTTCGATCGAACCGACGTCTTCTAGCTTACCGTGCCAGACGCTATAACTAAACTAAGCAACGGAACGAACCAGCGGACCTCACGAATTTTTCTATGTGTGTGCGTCGATCGTTGTATTTGGTTTTTTCAACGACTTTTTAGTCGTAGCGCCATCTATGAGAAATCTTAGCTTCATAGGTATCGAAGGAATTTTTTATGAGTGTTCGATCTTTGTATTAATAATTATAATAATATTTTTTGCTTTTTCTATTGCACATCGCGCTCTCGTCAGTCTTATTATTTCCTCGCATCGTTTGAGAAAAGCACCACACACGCCTCGGCGGGAATACAAGGCAATCCCGTACTTGCCCTTTAACCAACATAAAGCGAGAGGGCACTGACCGATCCAGGCGGCGAAGCGGCGCTCGTTGGGCGCGGGCGCGGCGTGGCTCTTGAGGCGGTGGCTGGACGGCGCCCGCGCAGCCAGCTCCTTGGCCAGGCGCTCGGCCCAGCCCGCCGAGTTGGCCACGCCGCCGCAGACCACCACCGAGCCCCACAGCGCCGGCCGCGCGTCGGCGTCGCAGGCGGACGCCGCGGCGCACACTGCCGACCACGGACACCTTAAAGCTTTGCATCGAGTGTGTAGCCAGACACGGGGACGAAATGTCAAAACTATTCTGCCATATCGTTGCTGTGACAACTGCGGGTGTCGTCAACTGTTTCGCTTCAAATCGACCAGTTAACTTGAGCTTTGCTATAATAAACGAAAATTGCAAAATTACATATTTAATTACCGATGAAATGTGATTCCGTTTGTTTTGTAATTAGACACCACCGAATGGAACAGCACGGCATTGTTAAAGATATTATCTTTATTACAATAAATCCAGAATATTTTTTGGAATATACGGAGACGTACGCACAGGTCAGTAGTTGGCCTGTCTATATTTCAGTGCAAACGGGAGTTGATATTTATAAGAGCTGTATCGCTAATATGTTACCAGGAATATATGGCCCTTATTTCGTCTCTGTTTCTGGTTATATACTCGATGCTTCTTTACAATGTCATAGCTTCATCGCTACAATCGATCATTCCACTATTGCTTTTTACTCAAAATTTGACCTATACTGTAGTTCATTTCACATAGCAGGTTACTAACGTTTGACCGAAATTTCATTACCTCGCATTGACTTACAAATAAATGGACGACGGGTCTAATACAAAAACCACGAAAAAAATGCCCCCAGTCAACCTATTTAAACGTAGTGACATTTAAAGGAATATGAAAAAGCTAAAACGTTGAATTTAAATTGTAATGTCATCGCAGTCTGTCTAATTTTGCTTGCTTCGCTGTCAGTCGAACAAACGAAGACTAAAGCGTGAATGACACTCTGTATACGATTTTTACGCCCTATAAGTTCGGACACTTTTTAGCGCGGACCCGACGTCCATATAATTGTAAGTCAATGTTACCTCGAAAGTAATTTTGAGAGGAAAATGTTTTTGCTTTTAAACCGAACCTAATCGTGTCTTTGCGATAAACATTCAACATATCCTGAAATCCAGTAATGAAAATTCGATCAAACGTTATTTCGGACAAAAAAAATTCGACTTTGTGATACGTTACCCACATGGCATCAACAACAACTTTTAATAGCAGTAGAGTTCGTCCAGGGCTGTCACCTTACCTATTTCTACTGCCAAGCAACAATATGACTTACTGTGTTTCGATTTTGAACGGTGCTGATGAAATTCCAGACACATGGGACTTGTCAACTTATGTTGTTTAGCTTACCATCAGACGCACGACTCTTTCGTCCTGTCACTTGATATTATAAAAAAATAGCACTATGCAACCATAGACTATATCTCTATAATAAAACATAGTCACTTTTAGACTATTAATTTTCAAATACGATTTTACGATATTCTTCAAATGAATCAATATTGGGAAATGTGGTGATAAGATATTGTGAAAGTGTTACTTATGCGATTTGTTGAGTGCAAACCGGTTTGTTTAGTTTTCGTCTAAAATAGATTGGCACAGACTATAATAAGTAGGTATAGTCAATAATAAAATTATTAAATAAATATAATTTTTCTCATTTTGAACACAATCGGTTAATAGTGCTTGAACGTACCCAGGGTACACAATAATAACGTACACACTCAACATAGCGCCGCACTAGGGAAACCCTGTGTCGCGGGTGCCATGGACACACACGTAGACAACCACAAATTACACCCAAACTCACGAGAGAAATACATGTAGGCCATACAAATATTTCTCCCGACTCGGGAATCGAACCTGGGACCTCTGCATGGCAGTCCGGCATGGTAACCGTTCGGCCACGGAGGCAGTTACGACACAGGCAGAGGGTAGTACGTCTGTTTGTTTCTTTCATAAGATTTATCATGTAGTTCCATCTCGCTCATGTTAGATGACAGCTAACAGGCCAGAGACAATAATTAATGTCTAAAAAGTAAAACTCATCATCCTGCCATGCAATTCCCGTTCAACTTTGTGTAGGTGATGACACGAATATAAATAATTCAGTTTTACCACGTTAATTGAACTGGATGGAACTTGGCTGGTTGCTTACAGGCTCATGGGAACCCCCAAAACAGCCAGTATTTTGTACCAAATTTTTATTTGTTTTTATTTATATTACTTAGTCACAGTAAAGACTGCATATCACTTCACGGAACATTATGATAATGGACGTTCGCTA